GCCGATTTAGCCTAGATATAAAATTGGTGTGTGTGTGTTTTTGTTTTTTTTTCGTTAAGCAAATAAATGTGAATCATAGGAGGGACAATGACAGTAATCCCACCGAACAAGAGGCCCCGGGACCGCGGCACGTGGGCGGGGCCCGTGCGCTCCCTGCAGGGGGCGCCTTGGCTCTCGTGGGCTTTGTTTGGCACAAATATTCTAGGCTTGTCGAAGGAGGTGGCACCGCCGCAGGCGAGGACCTTCGTCGCCCGGTCTCCTTCGGTCGCCTGGGCTTCCTGCAGTCGATGTGGTCGGACTCTTGGGTCTTGAGATTTTTAAAAGATGAAGAGTGATGAATCTTAGTATTTCTGAAAAGGATCTTGGAATTTCTAAAAAGGATTGTGACCGGTTTTGTTAATGTTTCTTGTTCTTTTTTTGGGATTGTTCATTTAAATTTAGTTTTATTTATTTTGCTTTGCTGGGGAATTTCTCTGTGGTTTTAGCTTGTTAATACAGGTTTTGAATTTCTCTGTGGTTTTAGCTTGTTAATACAGGTTTTGATGTTTTATGTGTGTTATGAATAAAATCTGTTATATCTGCATTTGATAGTAATTATTTTATGAAACAAATTGCATTTTGAAATGTAAATTTAACCCTTTATAATCAAAAGATAGATACTGCCACTAGAGATAGGAACAACAGAGTTGGATTTTTGTCTCACATTCCATTGCCTCTTATACTTAGGTGATTTTGTTTTTTGTACTGGATTCTTAAAAAAAAGTATTTCTAGATAAGATGTGTTAAAATAAATTAACTAAAGTGATGTAGAACTGAAAAGAGATATCCAGCATTTAAGAGTTACCTTATATATATAGAATGGTTATTATTTTTCTTGATGCCATCTCTCTGATGATTATTTTTGGTAAGAGGATGTGTCATTGATTAGTTACTCCTGTTGTTATTTAAACTATGCATAAATATCTGATATCTATTTCTTTCCTTTTCAGGATGGATGTGAGCGATGGCGTTTGGAGGGCGAGGTGTGCCGCCTTCAGGAGGCGCTCGGGCAACGCCTGGGTACTCCTGCTATGATGGTGCGGCGCCGTGATCACCGTCTGCACACTATCAACACAATTGAAAAGACCATCCAGCGGTTGCAGCAGGACGCCGTCAGGAACCACAACAACCAGAACAACCAAAATCACTTGCAAGACCAACAGAGAGGTTCTTCACCTGTGGAACACCCTTCAGACATCATGGATGCTGTGAATGCTAACCAGGTGAGGACAAGAGATGATGCTGACTGTGATGCCTGTTTGTAGGAGAGATTTTATGATGATGATGATTATTATGTATAGGATTCTGTCCTAGCTTAATCTTACATCTTGGTTCTGAATATTAAACACTGATGATATCTTTCACTCAGTGTAATAATGCTGGCTTTATGAACAGTAATGAGTATATTACAAAATAATGGAATTCTGATCCATACAACATTTACCAAATCTTTTGTATATTAGAAAAAAGAATATCAAATGTTGGAATATACCTTTTTTTCTTAGATATTTTTGTTCATATTTTTCACCTAATATTTGATATTAGTGTTAGAAGTAAATAGCAACTCAGTTCAAAATGGGAAAGAAAAAGGCAAATGTTATGATATTTTTACTTATTAAATGTTGAATACACGTTTGATAGGCTCATATACAGAGAATTCCAGAAGGTGAATGTAAGGAAGAAACGTTTTTTTCATAGTTTTTTTTAATATGATGCATAGCTAGAGAACCTTCCTATATTTTTCATATTTGCATATAGGCTCCCGATGAGGATGGCACAACGGAGGATATCAGTGAGATCCGGGAGTTGGACTCACTGCAGTCAGATACGCTGACTATCCACTCAGCAGATGGGGGTAGCCAAGGCAAGGGCAGGACAGCTGCCGCAGGCCAACAGGATGCCGACAAGGCTGAATGCACTCGAGAAAAGCTGTTCCAACCTCACCAGATTCCTACAGGGAAAATGCCACCAGCCATTGAGGCAGTTCTGAGGGGGACGTGGCCATTTGAGAAGGCACTATGGCACTCGAGCCCTGCATCCATGGGCATGCCCTTCAAGAATAATAATCAGGTATATGAGGAAATCTTTTTGTGAATGTTTGTGTGTGTATTTGTGTGTGTGTGTGTGTGTGTGTGTGTGTGTGTGTTTTTGTCTTGCTGAAAGCTTCTTAGCTGTGTATTTAAAGTTTTTTTTTTAGAGCTATTTTCTTATCTTAGATGGTAGATAAATTAGGATATATTAAATGTAATTGCAGAAGATGCTTGATATGTGGTAGCTGAGATTCTGTACTGATGAACGAAAAATCCATAGTAGCTATGGTGACCAATCTCAGGCTTATATATATTCATGAAAATTTTGCAGGAGGTGCCTGGCATTATGGCAACATCTAGTGTAACAAATAGACGAGCGCAGAGCACGCAGCAGCTTCTTACAAATAAGGTATGAATGTGCAAAGCTTATCCTTTTGCTTTGCATATATTCATCACTAGCCTACTAATATTACAGAAAATGTTTTTGGATGTTAATAATGCCGAATTTGTTTTATGTATGGAATAAGTTGTTTGTTGGTATGGTAAGTTATTTGTTGTGTATAGATGATTTTTTTAGATTGTATGGTATGTGAGTTTCAGTGAAAATATATATGAAGAAATACATAGTCTGTGAAATCTCACCCATGTACCTTGAAGATATTTGTTATTGTAACATGTTATTTTATGTGTTATCTTTTGTGTTACCTTTATGATTGGATTTCAAAACGTGATGGAAACATGTTTATATTGATGTGAATGTACTGTACATTTTTTTGATACAGCACTGCAAAAAGTGATTCATTGCACTAGTTACCATTATTTCTTATGTTACACAACAGGTTGAAATGGTCTATGGCCTTTTGTCCATGTTCTCCTCGAGTGACAGAGATGACATGAGCCGTACTCTTCTGGCTATGTCCTCCTCCCCGGACTCCTGTGTGGCCATGAGGCAGTCTGGATGTCTACCCTTACTTATACAGGTATTGGAATTGGTGTGTGTTTTAGACATTGTTACAGACTGAAGTGTTTTATGTTCTCCAAAAGGTATATTGTGCATTCTGGTATGGAATTAGAAAATATATGAGGCAAAGATACGTAACTCGTTATTGATATTTCTTGGGGTTGGAGCTTGGCAGTGTTATATTTAAATCTCAAAAATAAATACATTGTCCACAATTGATAAAAATCTTCTCCCTAATTAGCTGTTGCACGGATGTGACGGAGATGTTCCGCCCACAAGAGAGACGCGGCTTAGAGCAGCACAAGCCCTTCACAACATCGTCCATTCTCATCCAGACGACAAGCGCGGACGAAGGGAAGCTAGGTAAGGACTCTTTCAAAGGAAATGAACATATGTGTAATAGTAGCTGTGTTGAAAATTGTCAGTTTTGAGAAAAAATAGATTAAAGGTATATCTAGTTTTAGTTGATGCAGACATATATAATTTAAAAGAACACATGCTGTAGGTGAACCAAGTAATCAGAAAATACATTTACAAATGTCTGTGCTTGATAAACACTTTTTCAAGATAAACATTCTATATTTTTCCTAATAAACATATTTTTCCGTATATTCTAGGGTACTTAGACTCCTAGAGCAGATACGGGACTACTCAGACTACTTGTACGAGCGTCTGGAGCGCACAAGTGCAGGTCGTGGACCCCTGCTGGAGGATGATATGGATCGGCACCCCTGTCCTGCAATGGCTGCGCTCATGAAGCTCTCATTTGATGAGGACCACCGGCATGCTATGTGCTCACTTGGGGGCCTGCATGCCATTGCAGAGCTCATAAGAAGGGACCATGATGGCCATGGTTCTACTACATCTGATCAGTACTGCATCACATTGAGAAGGTGGGTTTAGACTTCTTTTTATGTGTGACGATCAAGGGTCATAGATTAATGTGTAATGTCACCCTTACATATAAGAGAATGATATGCTAAGTCTATCATTGTCTCTTTCAGATATGCAGGAATGGCCCTAACAAATTTAACTTTTGGTGATGGAACCAACAAGGCTTTGTTGTGTTCCTTCCGGTCATTCCTGCGAGCGCTTGTGTCACAGCTGCATTCACCAAGTGAAGATCTGAGACAGGTGGGCTTTCCTACACCATTCCATTCTCTTTTTTTTCTATTCATTTAGAGGATGCACTGAATAGGAACAAATGTATAATAGTCATCAAACATTTTTTTCCAATTATGTTTCTCATTTTGGGAAACTCTCCCTTGTACAGGTTACAGCAAGTGTGCTACGTAATCTATCATGGAGAGCAGATGGAGGAAGCAAAGCAAGCCTGCGTGATGTAGGAGCAGTTTCAATTTTGATGCAGGCAGCTCTCAGTGCTCGTAAGGAGTCTACTTTGAAGGTCATTCTCTCAGCTGTCTGGAACTTGTCTGCTCACTGCAGCATTAACAAGGTAGGTTCTCTCCTTTCTGGCAAATTTGCAGTTAGGGTATTGGCTTGCAAATTGCTTTTGATTGCTGCTCATGAAATTGATTATATTGACAAAACTGATATTGACATTGCATGTGGTGGCACAAAAGCAAAGACCAAAATTACACCTTAACTGGTAGGGTCATTTATCATTGTAGTGCTTCAACATATGTAATAGAAGGAAGGGTTTGCCTTGCAGGCTGAAATATGTGCTGTGGATGGAGCATTAGCATTTATCTGCAGTACTCTTACCTACAAGTCTCAGTCTAAGACTCTAGCAATTGTGGAGAACGGAGGAGGAATACTCAGGAATATTTCTAGTCATATTGCTGTCAGAGAAGATCTCAGGTATGTAATGTTCAGCATCTGGGTTCAGTTTTACTTGGTACTTTTGTTTGAGAAATATTTTGTTAGATTCAGAGAAAAGATAATCAGTCTTGTATTTGATTAGTTTTCAGTAATTTTCAACAGAGGCTTCATCATTTAGTGCTGAAATAATTTGTGTGGGTGAATCTCCCAGGAGTTGAAAAAGTGAAAGTTTAGATTGTTGTTATTTTTGCCCATTTCAGGCAGGTGCTGAGAGAACATAATACTCTAAGCATACTTTTAGGTCAGCTACGTTCACCAAGCTTAACAGTTGTGAGCAATGCCTGTGGAACTTTATGGAACCTTTCAGCCAGGTGTTCACAGGACCAGCGCACATTATGGGAGCTTGGTGCTGTTCCTATGTTAAGATCACTCATTAATTCAAAACACAAGATGATATCAATGGGGTCAAGTGCGGCACTGAAGAATTTGCTACAAGCGAGGCCAGAGGGAATGCCCTTGACTGACCCACGTCATGGCATGGGCCTCCCATCCTTACAGGCTCGAAAGCAGAAAGCCTTAGAACAGGAACTGGATCCCTCCCTCTCAGAGACATGTGACAACATTGAAACCTCACCAAGAGCTTCACCAACCCATCCACAAGGCAGTGATCCACATTTTTATGGACAGCCTGGTGATGGTCCACAGTATTACCCAGGGGCACGGCCAATGTTCCACTCCTTAGGGGCACAGTATAATAATGTCCTACGATCTGAGAGCAGGGACTCGATCTCCTCAACCCATTCTGACAACTCCCATGACCGAATGCGGCAGTTGTTGATGCGTCACCAAGCTGGCCGTGAGCCCCTTGTGGAGAATGGAGGAAGGCCCTTGGATGGCAGACCCCTTGATCTATCACTTAGGTCCATGGCTCCTCCATCCCATGGTCTCCCAGACATTGCAAGGATGAGTCAGGATGAATTGCAGAGACACTTAGATTCCCAAGAGTTCAATGGAAGTGCTGATGAGATATTTGCCTCTCGAGTGCGTAACATGAAAGATATTTACAGTCATCAGCCAGGAGATTCAGGGCAGTTCCCTGACTCCACAGGGAGCAGCGGGAGCATTCCCAGAAATGGAGCATTCCGTGGACAAGGCCCTCAGCCACCCTACAGCCCAACGGCAACCCGTCGGCGATCGTCAAGCACAAGTGACGAGGAAAGAACTGGAAGTGGAAGAAACTTTGCCAATGGACAGCAGCCCCATAATGAGGCCCATTATAACATCTACAGTAAATATGTTAACTTTAGTAGAAATCTTGCTGAAGTCAACATTGAGAATGAGTCGCAAAAAGAACCTCTTAATTATAGTTTGAAATATAACGCTAGATTAGCTTCAAAAACATCTACTAATGAAAGTATTGCAAATATGTCTAAAACAGCAGAACGACCAGAACCTCAGATTGACAATTATGTCGGAGAAAGAAGAGAAACAAGGAAGACAGAAACCCATAAAGAAGCTGACAGAGAACAAGAGGATTTCACAGGGTACACTGAAACAGATTTAGACCAGCCAACTAACTTCAGCCTGAGGTGAGTAAGCCATGTGTGAGACTCACACAAATTAAGATTCTCTCCAGATTGTGATGAATTAATTCAGCTACATAAACAGACTATGTCCCTGATATTGGTATATAATTCATTATATATTCTAAAACTTCAAATGCATAGTTATGAAAGTGCAACTTCTTTATAGTGCTCCTCTCCAAAAGTGAAGAAAATATGCTTTGGGAAAATGGTGGTGTTATGCAGAATGCAGACTCATTTTTCTTTTCTTATTTTTATTGATTTTATTTGTATTTGCTTTTCATAACTTTTATTTTTTATTTTTTGAATTTTTATTTATTTTTTTAAGACCAGGCTCAATGCTAGGTATAACTTGATATATATAAATATATTTTTTTAAAGAACTAGGCCCACTAGAGCATTTAATTTGGTGTCTAGTCAGCTGTGTCTTCTGGATATTTTCCCAAATCACTGTTGTTGTCGTGTTGCTTCTTTGAATGTTCATAGTCTGTCAGGATCAGACAACCCTTTGTTCAGTGTCAAACCTTGGCAACTCCAACCCTTCTAGGTTGGTTATTGTATATTCTCTGCTTTAGTGGCAGTGAAGAGACTATCTCTGCATGATAGCAGGATGTTGAAGTAACATTGCAGGTGTTTTATTCCTCATTTAATACTCTGAGGTAATTTAGCGCTTACAATCTTTATTGGTCCATGTATGACACTATAAAGAGGTTCCACTGTATATGTATGGATCATGGTCTAGTTCATTTTGTTTGCTAATCTTATTGTATTATTTGGGCATGGAAAGCAAAACCTTAATGGAGGAATTTAGATAATGCTGGACCGGTTCCACTTTGATGCCAGACTAATATTGTACCTTACAAATAATCTTGGTACAGTCTGGTATTGGACCAGGCTCTAGTCTTGGTCGAGCTGCCAGATGCCGACCAGTAGCGGTGCGAGGGACCGGTACAAGGAGGAACAACAACTAAACATAGATTGATGTTGTTGACAGTGATACTTGATATTCAGTGGTTTGTAACTACTGCAAGGTTCTGATACTGTAGACGATGCTTTTACCCATCAGTGGCTTATGTGCTAGATCTTGAATTAGCTACATATTTACATGTTTTGTAATATGCATTGGAGTGCTTTTGTAACTCAGAGGTGATGGTATTTCCTTTTTTTTTAAGTTGAGTTTCTCATAGGTAACAGAATTTAGGATTTTTTTTTACAGAGGGATGATTTTGTGTTTGGGATGTACAGTGACTAGAGATGATTGCACTTTTTTTTGGCTTGAAATGATAGTGATATTTCTAACATTGAAATAATGAGACACTAATTTTATTGTGTGATGTACAGTTTAGAGTGGCTGTACAATGTGTGCTTATGTTTGAAGGTTGTGATGAAATACTTGGACTTAGTAAAAGCAAAAATATTGTTCTTGAATCTTATATTGGGATTATTTGATAATTTTCTAAGATTTAAGGATTAGAATTGGAGTCAGTGTGGGAATGGCAAAAAAAGACAAGCTAAAATCACAGGAAACACCATCTGTAAAAAGAATATGATGATGAATTTGGAAACTAAATTTGTTGATACCAATAAAAAAAACTCAGACATGTGCTGATGAATCTGGCAAGTTTTTGTACCGGTATTGACCCTCAATCTTTGTGTGTGTGCAAGCGTATGGGTCTGTGTGTGTGTGTGTGTGTGTGTGTGTGTGTGTGTGTGTGTGTGTGTGTGTGTGTGTGTGTGTGTGTGTGTGTGTGTGTGTGTGTGTGTGTGTGTGTGTGTGTGTGTTTCTGTCTGCCTCTGTTTCTATCCCAGTCTCTCTCTCTATCTGTCATTTTGTCTCTTATGTCTCTCTGTCTGTTTTCTCTGTCCTTATGTCTGCCTGTTTTTATCTGTCTCTCTCCCCAATCTCCTCTCCTATTCCCTCCCTCTCTAAATCCCTCTTTCCCTCTCTTCCCCCCACCCTCTCTCTCTCTCTCTCTCTCTCTCTCTCTCTCTCTCTCTCTCTCTCTCTCTCTCTCTCTCTCTCTCTCTCTCTCTCTCTCTCTCTCTCTCTCTCTCATTCTCATTCTCCTTCCCATTACCATTCTTATTCTTATTCTTATTCTTATTCTAATTCTCTCCCCAATCTCATTCTCACTGTTACTCGCACTTTCATGCTCACACTTGATCCTTCTTACACACTATTGGGTGTATGAATATTTATATTTACGGAAATGTTTTCATTAATCTATGTATGACATAGTGCTAGCCCAGAGATCATTTTTGTTGTAATTTTCAGATGTCTTTTCTTTTTGTAAGACTTGAAAGTTATAGAGCATTGGAATATAGTATTGTTTTTAAGGACTGTACTTTTTCCGAGCATTATTTTAATAGGCAACAAGTTGTGTAGTTTGGCTTTGTATTAAAATTTCATTGATTGATTAATTTCTGATAGATCTCATGTATAAGAGGAGTGATTATCAGCTAACAAGTGCACTTTCTACTTAAGAAGTGCAGTTCAGTATTTTTGAGATGTCTGCTTAAGTATTATTAGTTTGCATTGATTTTATGTCTGTGACATGCAAATGTATATATACAAGTATCTGCAGATTTTGATGCAGATGAATTTGAAATGATATTTAATCAGAATCATCAGTGTGTAGTGCAAATAACCAGGCTAAAAATAGTGGGGAGGGGGGGAAAAGCAAACTCCAGACATAACTAATGAGTCCGCTTTCCTGACAGGTACTCCGAGGAACGTGACAGCGATGAAGCTGCCTTGTACCGGCGCCCTCCAAAAGCCCCGCAAGAAACCCCATCTCAGTTCTTCGAGCCTTCTGTTCACGATGATTCTGTCAAGACCTACTGCACCGAGGGCACGCCCTATGAGACCCCCTACAACTTTTCCACTGCAACATCTATGACTGACCTCCGTGAGCCAGCCATCAAGGAAGAGATTGAGAGGGAGAAGTCTGTGTCTCCCGGTGAAGAGGTGAGCTTGAAGTTGTGACTGTGTGTATAGTGTATATTGAAGATTGTCATAGTCTAAGTCTCAGTAAAGCTTGAAGAAGTCAAGGAAAGTGATTTTGGAATAGCTGAAGACAGAGTAAAACAAAGTAAGATTAGGGGATTATTTTGTTTAATATTAATCATTAACAGTTTGTCATGGGGGATTTTAAGGATGTAAGAAACATGATGAATAATGTATATGTTTAAGTAATAGTTGCATCTGTTATGTGAAATGGGCTGATATTTGTAAGAAACTCTCACATTGAATAATCCAGTCTTTGGAATGATAAAATTGATGTATAGCTTAGACTTTTTTCTGGTTGAAGGTTGTGAAGTCTTATGTATTAAGTGGTATTTTAACACAAAATATTTGCATATAAGATTGATTATAATTTGGTGAATGCTCTTATGACCTCAAAGCATTATTTTAAAAGCATTATTTCCATCACTCAGTTTTCCCAATGCTGTCTCCTTCCTTTCAGAAGAAGGAAAAGGACCTGAAGGTCGATGACCTTGAGAACATTGAGGACTCCGATGATGCACGTGACACACTGGAGCCCCTTCCCTCACAGACTGGCCTGCCTGTCAAGAGCGGTCTCAGCTCGGGCATGATGACACCCGACAAGCCCATCACCTACTGTGTTGAAGGGACCCCAGTGTGCCTCTCAAGGTTCTCATCCGTTTCTTCCTTAACAAGTGGAGAAATCAATGCCAATAATGACAGGTAAGAAAGGGGAAAACTAGGGAGAAGATTGACTTTCTTTTGGAAAAAACATGAGCAGAAATACACCCAACAACACCTTCATATATAGTGGATTGGATTCTCATCAATTGTCATTGCTCAGGGATGGTCTGATGGGTGACCTATCTGAGGATGGAGAGCAGAAGCCTGAAGTCGTGAGTCAGGAGAAGAAGGGGAGACTGCAAGAGCCAAGGAGGGAAGCCGAACAAGCTGACACAACTAGGGATGGAAGTCACACTCCCTCCTCTCAACAGCTGGATAGACCTGAAGGTAAACTTGTATTTTCTCGTGTTTTTTTTTCCCCACTTTTCCTTTGTTACATATTATCAATTTGATATGTTTAAATTTGTACTGGGTTATATTCTTTTCTTTTCTTTTCTTTTTGGCAATTGTAACCATTGTCTGAAAATCTATAAAAATAATGGTTCTGTGATATATGAAAATGATTGTAACTCTCAGTCTCATCTTTCCTGCAAACTTTGAATTGACTCTATAACTGAGAGCCCCTTGCTGCCTCCTCCAGGCAAGAGTGTGCACTATGAGGAAACGCCGCTTATGTTCTCGCGAGCCACGTCGGTCTCCTCACTGAGCAGCTTTGAGGTCCAGTCCATCCATGATGATCGCAGCTCTGTGGTCTCAGACTTCAGGTATTGTCTTGTTTTTGTGTTGGTTCTTAGGTAATGACTTTGAGTTTGATTAACACTTGTGATGAGCACACGGATCTGTATGAGAATGTATTTTGTCATTTCTGGTTTAGTTTTTTGTTCTATGTGATGGACTAAGGATGAGTGAATTAAAAGAAGGTTTACTTGAAAATACCCAAGATATTATTTACATTTTTGTTGTAGTTTGCCTAATCAAATAAAAATGATACCAATCCTTTTGCTTTGTAGCTCTACTAATAAAAGTGATTTTGTGTAAGAAGAAGAAAAACAACAACAAGACTTTACCTACTACACCTTCAGCCTGTGTATTGTGCTTTCAGAATGTGACTGTCCTATCTCTCTCTCTTTTTTTTGTGACAGTCGGTTTACCAGTGGTGCCATATCTCCAAGTGATCTGCCAGACTCCCCTAGTCAGACTGTTCCTCCTAGCCCCAAACGGTCTCGCCCACCATCCCAACCATTTAAGCCACCCCCCACTCATAGTAAGGAATGGCTTGGTTTGTCTTCTTTTTTGTTGACCTTATTAACTGTAGCTCTGCATTGCATTCTTAGGAAGGTTCACTGCAGTGTGTGATGTCGGCTGCAACAGAATACTCTTAGCAAATACTTGAGAAGCGGTCAGCCTTTTGTGCATATGTAATAATAATAGTGATTTACATACTTTTTAGTTTTTATTTCATGAAATATTTGGATATTGTAGAGAGATAGGAGTAAAAGATCTTTTACAGTCCATTTGCCTTTTGGATAATGTTTTTTTTCATTCATAGTCAAGTATGTATGCACGTGTGATTGCTTACATAAGCTTAGCTAATATTGATCTTAACCTGTCTGCCCACCAGCAGAGCCAAGAACAAGCACAGGTGTGTTCAGTGAGGCTCCCAAAGCCTGGGTGGAGGAGGGCACTCCCGTAGAATTCTCTCGCGCCACTTCGCTCTCCTCGCTCACCATTGATGATGAGCTCCCCCTCACTGTGGATGTGGTTCCCAGGGTGAGTTTATATGGAGCCAAAGGAGTGAAAGCAGATTTTTGATATGAACTGGATTTTGGCTTCATTTGTGTTGCACAAAGGAGTCTTTCGTTTCTCCTTTTTCCAGTGATTTATCTCTCTTTACTTGCTTCATTCAAGGACCGTCTTCGAGGTGATGGCAAGGATAGCAGTGAGAACACCGCGAGTGAAGGTTCCAGAGCGGCTTCGCGGGGGTCGCAGAGAGGGCTCCAGATCCCTTGCTCCAACATTCCAAGATTCCACACACAGGTATGAAACTACCGTAACTACCTGTACTTGGGATCACTATGGTTATATGTTTACTTTTTTTTTTTTTCCTTTATTCAAGCAAAGGTGAAAAGAATTATTGAAACGGATTTTGAATCATTGATATTGCTGAAGTATCAGTACTAGAATCCGTTCACATTTCCCAAATATCTTGTCTCACACCCAGAACACATATTCTATCACCCACAGAAACATGAGCAGCTAGAGTCTGAGGTGCATGGTGAGGATGAGCCTAAGGACAAGAAAGATGATGAAGTCGAGACCCGGTCCCGGGAGCACTCGCAGACGCGCTCAAGCACACACTCAGACTCTGAGAGTGAAAACATCCTGGCGGAGTGCATCAGCTCAGGAATGCCCACCAGCACGTGAGTACCCATTTATTTTCTTCATAAGTATTATTGTCTATGTTTGGTGTGTAATGGGTATTCCTGTGTTTCTCT